AACTGCTGACCTTGTGGTTAGCGCAGCCCAATGGGTAACCACTACGCCAACGGGGTACGGAGGGGGCATTTCAAGTCATAAAGCCGTAGGGAAAACGCAGGAGGTGACAGGCGGGGCCGGCCTTCCTGCCTCCCCTGGAGCCCAGGGAGGGAGGAGAGAGCTCAGGACATCACCTTCGCGTTCCCATCTCAGCCTCAGTATCCCTCGTTGCTGAATAAAGCCTTTACGAGGGACGTGCAGACGTGGGAGGTCACCATACACGGTGGCAACGGTGGGCTCCCATGCCATGAGGGCTCCTTAGGGGCAGGAGCGGGCAGCACTTCCCTCGGCCTTCTGTGTCCACCAGGCCCCCCTTGGGCCGAGCTGGCTCGGCCAGACAGGGAGTTCCGTGACTGGCCTCGTGGTGAACCTTCCTCACGGTGCCAAGAATTCTGACGTTCGTTCAGATTTCTAAAAGCCAGCACCCGTGCCTGCCATTTCAAGAACGGTTAGCACTAGAAGGTGCCAGCACCGGGCCATCGGCCTTCTTGTCCTCTGCCATGGGCTGCCAGCCGGCCCCACCCTCTGGTTCTGTAATGGTGTGCTGTTGCCGGGACCCTCCAGGAGCCCTCAGCAGGGGAGGCTGGCAGCAGTCCCCTGGGCTAGAGGTCAGGAGGAGCAGAGGTCTCTGCGGGGCCACGTGGTGTCATGGGCCAGGACCTGGTGGGTGTGTGAGTGCTGTAGTTAGGGGGAGAGGTACATGTAGGAGTGGGAGAAACTGCTCGCCAACCGGCCCCCTTCTTTGCAAGGAGAATCAGACCCCACTTGGCCTTCCAGAAAAGTAATTGGAGGCTTAATGCTGCTAGATGGCATCCAGCCGGCTCCTGGTCACCTGTGCCCAACAGACCGGCTCCTGCTCTTGGCTCTTTAATGCTTCCACAACAAATGCCATAAGGGATGGTTTTAGCAAGCAGGCATTGTTTATTTTCTCAGTTCAAACCCAAACCCTTTGCTTTGGACTAGATTCCAACCAATGGCGACCCTAGACAGGGGCTCTGAGGCAATAAATCTATCTGGAAGCTGACAGACCAGCCTCATCTTTCTATCTCAGGGCAGCTCATGGGTTTGAACTGCTACCTTTGTGGTTAGCTATTCGTGCTGGCTCTGGAGGAAGATCCTCTTCTATTGGGATCTTGGAAGCTGCCACTCCTGGACCACTGGCATGTGTTGGCTTCTGTCTTCCCCCGTCTGTGTGTGTCTCCTCTGTTCTTTGTAACTCTGATAAGAGATGAACTGAAGGTACCCCCTACACGGATTCACCTAACACTTGTTCCCAAGTGGAAGGATCAGCTCAGGCAATGAGGTTGTGGGAGGACGTGATTCATCACCCCCATGAACAACCGAGCAAAACCTTGCCCTGCCCAGCACCAACTTCCTGACTGCTGGTGTGTCCATTGTTGCGGCCAGGTGCATCTGAATGCTTCAGCCCCAGGGGCTCATCGGCTGTGACCCCTGCGGTTTTCAAAGGCCAATTTTCAAAGCAGACCGCCAGGCCTTTCTTCCTGGTCTGCCTTAGTACCGAAGCGCTGCGGAAACCTGTCCACTGTGGGTGACCCTGTTGCTGTTTGAAATACCAGAAGCTTCAAGCCACCCATAAGCCACCACGGCCTGACACGTGAGAGACAGGATGCAGGCACCTAAATAACCAGGCTCCTGTTTCAAAGAAGAGTCCGATCTGTATCTGCAAGGGAGGCTGCTACTGGTGGCACCTCTCCCCTGCCTCTCTTCCGGCCCCCTCTGCAGTGTGTCTGCTCCCTGGGAACCCTGTGGGCCAAACAAGAACCCTGACCAGCTCCTGGGGCTTGTCACTGAAAGCAGGACCAGCTCTGTCCGTTGGGTAGCGGCGTTGTGCAGCCGGCCCCGCGCGCGCTGGCAGGTGAACATCTCCTTCCTGCCGAGTCCAGAGCCCGGCTTCCTTGAGCAGGCCCATCGGCCAGCAAGGTGCAGGGCTCTCCCCAGCCAGGGGTCTTCAGGGTGGCCATTCTCCTGCCCAGCTCAGGGTGGTGGGTTGGGGATCTCAGGATGCCTTCGGAAGCAGCTTTCCATTTCTGGGGACCAGGATGCACTGGCTATTAAGAACTCACGGCCACGGTGATGCCGGCCAAGCAGCCAGCGCAGGGCCTGGTATGCACTAGGGACCCAGAAAGCTGTGTCCTTGGAAGGGGCCACAGGGTGGGTGGGAAACAACTGCCTCACTGGGCTGCATAGGGAGCAGCTGGGGATGCTGGGACTCAGGGGCTGAGCACGAGTGTTGCCATTAGGAAAGGAATGTGTATTGGGATTGGAGACGGATACTGGGGTCAGAGTAAGTATGAGTGTTGGGGTTGGGGTGTGTTGGGGGTGGAGTTAGGGTTAGGATTTGTTAAGGGTGGGGTGAGTAATGAGGTGGAGACACAGGGAGCCTCAGGGCTGATCCTGGGGCCTTGACCACCAGGCCACCACTTCAGCTCACTGATGGGGGTAGCAGGTGAGGCCCCAGGAGTCTCCACTTGCCTATGGACACAGGGGAGGGGGGCAATCCGTCCCCTTCCCCCACTCAAGAGCCCTTTCCTGCAGCACCTAATGGACTCCCAGCCCTGGAGCCCAGTCCCCCTTGGGAGGGAACCAGGGGTCCCCAGGACTCAAGTTCATCCCTAGACATGGCCCTCACCCTCTGGGGACCCCAGTGTTCCCCTATCAGAGACCTAGGTGCCATGCCTCTGCTTCCCTCCCCAAGACCTGTGGACAGGGAGTCTGGCACTGGCTGGGGCTCAGAGAAAGGTGCTAAGCTGGTGTCCTCTCCTCCTTCCCTCCCCCCAACTCTGCCCAGCGCCCCCTCCAGAGGAAGTGGTGAGGCTGCAGGCCGATCTTCCCTGGAGCTCCAGAGCGAGGGCAGGGACCTGGGCCCAGGACCTGAGCCCACCTGCCTCTCTCTCAGCAAGCCATCTAGCCCTGGCCTCTGAGGCCTGGATGGAAGGGGATAGTTTTGTAGGCATTCAGGGGGAGGGGCGTCTTTAGTGAAGGGAGACCTTCTGGAAGGCGCTCCATTTACGCCACACAAGATGGTCCCCCCAGCACCTGGCTGACGGGGCCTCTCGGGGAAATGGCAGAAGTCCCCCTGTCCTGGCTGTAGTGAAACCTAAGAGCCTGATGTTTGCGTCCAAGGCCATCACCACCCTACCTGTGAGCTTCCGACAGGGGGTCTCCCTAGCCTGGCCCTTCCAGATGAGGAAACAGGCTCACAGGAGTCACAAGGCAGGCGGAGCTGATCCAACCCCAAGATTATGGGAGCTCCTTCCAAGGGGGATGGGAAAAGCACCCGGAGCAGGGCTGGGGTGACCAAGGAAAGGAGTGGGGGCAGGGCTGGCTCTCCCTGGGCCGGATCGGGAGTGTCTGGGCTGAGGAAGAGGCAGGCTCTGCGCTGTTGATCTGATCTCTAAATTACAGCGTTGGCGCGCACCGGTTGCTGCGGCAACGGAGTTGTCCTGAAGCAGGGAAGTGTATAAACATTGCCACAGATGCACAATTAGATCAGGAAGAAGAATAGGACAGAAAATAGAAACTTGCAGCCTTATGTAATTCTGGGCCAAAACGTTACCCGCAGCCGGGCCTGGGCCGGCCCTGCCAGTCCTGGGCCTCCCTACCCCCACCCTGGGTAGCACCATTGCCCCTGGGGCCCCAGTGGAAGAGAGGGATGAGGGAGGGCTCCTCTCCATGGGCCCAGCTTGGATGCCCGTCGTCGCTGGGTGGGCCACCTTTGCCCAGACAGCTGCGGATGCTGACAGAGCGGGAAGGCAGGCAGCAGGGCTCACACCAAACCAAACTCGGAGTCATGGGGCTTTCTAGGGACCGCAACTCTTGACAGGAGCAGAAAGCCCTGTCTTTCTCCCATGCAGAGGCTGCTGGCTTTAAATGGCTGGCTTTGCGGTGAGCAGCCCCCAGGACTCCTAGGCAGGAGGGTGGCTCATTGTAATTGAGCACCTATTTGGTCCTTAGATCTTGTAAGAGAGGGACTTTTGAACCCTGTGTTACAAATGAAGAAACGGGGAGTCGAAAAGGGCCGCAGATAGGCCAGTGGCATGTCCATCGTCTGTCCCCCCGCCCCCCAGCCACCCCCACCTCCCCACACTGTGGCCGCATCCACAGGGAGCCAAGGTGTGAATCACACCTAAGTCTGCATCCACTCTATTCCCCAGCGAGTGGCCGTGGGCTGCTCACTTCCCTGCCTGAGTCCCAGGTCCCCACCTGCTGCGTGAGGGTAGGTAGCAGTGCCGGTGCACAGGCCAAGGCCGGGAGCTTGCTCTTCCTCCACCTCCACTGCCACCACTGGAGTCACCACCCATCTTTGTTCCTGACAAGTCTGGGGACAGGAATGTCTGCCAGAGACTCAGGGCCACACTGGGATGGAAGGGTCTAAGGGGGGTGGGGGCCCCAGCACCATTGAGGAAGTTTCTGCAGCTCTGGAAGTGCTCTGCACTCCTGCTGTGCGCTGACCTCTGGCATGTAGCGCCAGAGCATTTGAATACAGATTCCCTTTGATGGAAGTCTGTTCTTGTTGGGTGCTGCCCAATCCCTTCTGATGCCCAGCCACCCCATGGGCGGCAGGACAAATGCTGCCCGACCCTGTGCCAGCCCTCTTGCCATCTTTGGGCCCATTGCCCCAGCCGCTCATTGCAGCTGTAAAAAGTCACCGGCTACTGGTCTTGGGGCGTCACAGGCAAACGGCTGGTCACTGGGCGACCCAAGCCGCGAGGCCAGGTGTCAGGAAACTGCTGGGGCAGGGGGCGATGGAGGGGCTAAGACCCAGGCCTGCATCCTGGGGACGTCGGCTTCCACACCCCTTCTCACCCACCTGCCTTGCCTGGGCGGAAGGAAGGGGGCTTGGGTTGGATCGCAGTCCCTCGGGTCCCGGGCGTCCCCTCCGAGGCAGCCCCGGGTGGGTGCCAGCATCTCACGCTGAGTGTCTGCCTTCTGCTCCGCAGGCCCTGCGTCTCCCCACGTGACCACGCCGGCGACAGGACATGCACGGGCACAGCCGCAACGGGCAGGCCCACGTGCCCCGGCGGAAACGCCGCAACCGCTTCGTCAAGAAGAACGGCCAATGCAACGTGTACTTCGCCAACCTGAGCAACAAGTCGCAGCGCTACATGGCGGACATCTTCACGACGTGCGTGGACACACGCTGGCGCTACATGCTCATGATCTTCTCTGCGGCCTTCCTGGTCTCCTGGCTCTTCTTCGGCCTCCTCTTCTGGTGCATTGCCTTCTTCCACGGTGACCTGGAGGCCGGCGCCGTGGGGCCCTCGGCGGCCGGGGGCGGGGCCGCCCCCGTGGCCCCCAAGCCCTGCATCATGCACGTGAACGGCTTCCTGGGCGCCTTCCTGTTCTCCGTGGAGACGCAGACCACCATCGGCTACGGCTTCCGGTGCGTGACGGAGGAGTGCCCCCTGGCCGTGATCGCCGTGGTGGTGCAGTCCATCGTGGGCTGCGTCATCGACTCCTTCATGATCGGCACCATCATGGCCAAGATGGCCCGGCCCAAGAAGCGCGCGCAGACGCTGCTCTTCAGCCACCACGCGGTCATCTCGGTGCGCGACGGCAAGCTCTGCCTCATGTGGCGCGTGGGCAACCTGCGCAAGAGCCACATCGTGGAGGCCCACGTGCGCGCGCAGCTCATCAAGCCCTACATGACGCAGGAGGGCGAGTACCTGCCGCTGGACCAGCGGGACCTCAACGTGGGCTACGACATCGGCCTGGACCGCATCTTCCTGGTGTCGCCCATCATCATCGTGCACGAGATCGACGAGGACAGCCCGCTCTACGGCATGGGCAAGGAGGAGCTGGAGGCCGAGGACTTCGAGATCGTGGTCATCCTGGAGGGCATGGTGGAGGCCACGGCCATGACCACCCAGGCCCGCAGCTCCTACCTGGCCAGCGAGATCCTGTGGGGCCACCGCTTCGAGCCCGTGGTCTTCGAGGAGAAGAGCCACTACAAGGTGGACTACTCGCGCTTCCACAAGACCTACGAGGTGGCGGGCACGCCCTGCTGCTCTGCCCGTGCGCTGCAGGAGAGCAAGATCACCGTGCTGCCCGCCCCGCCGCCCCCGCCCAGTGCCTTCTGCTACGAGAACGAGCTAGCCCTCCTGAGCCAGGAGGAAGAGGAGATGGAGGAGGAGGCTGCGGCGGCGGTGGCCGCTGGCCTGGGCCTGGAGGCGGGCTCCAAGGAGGAGGCGGGCATCATCCGGATGCTGGAGTTCGGCAGCCACCTGGATCTGGAGCGCATGCAGGCCACGCTGCCCCTGGACAACATCTCCTACCGCAGGGAGTCGGCCATCTGACCTCCGGGCCCGCCCTCGCCGCTTCCGCCCTCGCCCCTGCCGGGGGGGTGAGGCCACCTCCACCCACACTCAGGACAGAGCGGACCCTGGCTCCCTGGACCTTCTGGAGGGAGGCGGGGGCTTCGAGGACTGGGAGACCCTCTTCCCGCCCGCCCCAGAGCACAGGCTGAAGTGAGCTGGGCCAAAGCGGCCCCGGTCACCCCAGCCCCTTTCCCCCTTGGGGCCCCTTTGTTCTCAGGACCTTGGGGAAGGCGGTTGGACTGCTGGGAGGGTGGGCGTCAGGGGTGCCGGGTGGGCCAGGGGTTAGGGAGGGAGGGGGAGGGGGGTGCGTTCCTTTGCATGACTGTGACCTGTTGCTCACGACTTTCTTTTGTAAATATCCACAAAGGGCGAGGCATAGGCCTCCCGTCACTTTCTGCCATTTTTACCTGCTGGACAAGGCGACATAGTCCCTAGCTGTGCACCCCTCCCCCTCCCCTCTCCCTCCCCAGCTGTGGGCCAAGCCCTCTCCGCCCAGCTGGCCGCACCCTCCCCCACCTTCTCCCCGCTTCCCCAGCCCCGAGCCCACCAGAGCCAGTCATGATGACCCTGGAATGGGGTTGGGGTTGGATGCCCCTGAGGAGACAGGATGTGGGCTTGGCCCTCTCTGCAGTCCCTCCCAGCCCCCAGCCCCAGCCCGATGGACAATGGAGTTTGTAATGATATATTTTTAATAAAGTATATGGCCCAGGAAGGGTAGGCTGGTTAAAGTTGGAGGGATGGGAAAGAGGGAGGGAAGGAGCCAGAACGTGGGTGTCCCTCTCAGAGAGGCTGGCCCTCGGTAGGGCCGAGAGAGGGAAACTTTTCACCAGCACTCTGCTTCCTGGGACCCTGAGTTGGCACCAGGGGACATTGCTAGTGTGTGACTGTCAGTCAGTTGCTTATCGGTTCTTGGCCTCACGTTCATGATCTGTAGACTGGGCCTGACCACGCCTCCCTCCCAAGACATGATGGCCAGAAAGAGGCCAGTGGGCGTCAGGCAACCACTGGAGGGGAAGTGGGAATAAACCACCTGATTCACACACCTACACACACACACCCTAGGCACGCGTACACGTATGTGCACACGTGCTGGGCTGATGAAGCTGGGGAGAAGGGCTCTGCTGCGAGGCTGCTCCAAGTGCGGCTTAGGCATCTCCTGGTGGCGTGCGGTGCGGAGACAGCCCTCCCTGCAACCTCTCTCACACACACACACCCCAACCCACCTGGTTAGGCTGTGCTGGGCCACAGCCACCTCAAGCATGGTGGTTTCAGCAGTGAGCAGTGATCTGCTGTTTCCCAAAGTCAAGAGGGGTGCTGCCTGGGCCCCCTCAGGTAGGCAGGTTCGGCTGCCATGTCAAGGGCCCTGCCCACCTATCTGCCTGGGTGTTCTCCTTGGGAGGGTCTGCCCAGCCTCCTGAAGCTGCACCAGCTTCCAGACTGGGCCTCAGGGCAGCAGCCTAAGAAGGCAGAAGCGGCTGGGTCTCTTGAGGCCTAGCCTCAACCTTGCATGATGTCCCTTCAGCTGCATTCTTTTGGCCAATCCAAGTCAAGGGTGGGGGAAATAACTTGCGGATCCTGCTGAAACCAAAAGCCAAACTCACTGCCCTCCAGTAAGTTCCAGCTCACAGAGACCCTACAGGACAGGTAGAACTGTGCCTTGGGGGTTTCCCAGACTGCACCTCTTTATAGGAGTAGAAAGCCCCATCTTTCTCCCTAGTAGGAGGTCAGTGGTTTTGAACTGCTGACTTTGTGATTAGCAGCCCAATAAGTAAGTACCTACTATGTCACCAGAACAATCATGTCAGGGGACTGAAAAGTCAAGTCATGGAGGACAGAGGACAGAACTGTGGCTGTACTTGCCAATCTGGGCACAGACCCAGCCGGGCTGCTGTCCACGGCCAGCACGGGGCCGTAAGGAAGCAGAAGGTACCCTCCTTGTTCCCAGGAGTTTCGACCCCCAAACTCACTGCCATCGAATGTTGACTCATAGCAACCCCTGTGGGTTTCTGAGACTGTAACTGTTTATAGGAGTAGAAATCCCAGTCTTTCTCCCAAGGAGCAACTGGTGGTCTCAAACTGCCGACCACACGACTCGCAGCCAACGCATAACCACTTCACCATCAGGGGTCCTCTTTCTACCCAAAGGGGCAGCTCTTTCTGGAGACATGGGAGCCAACAGACTGATTCACCTACCGAGGGCCGAGATGACCGGCTCTGTGAATTACCACCTTTCCCAGGTGGCCTCTTTCGGCGAGCACCTCCTACAGGTTACCTGTGAGGTTGCTTTTCGTTTCCACAACGCCGCTCACGCCTGTAATTCAGCACACCCTCACCACATGCCAGCGGGCAGCTAGGAAAGGATTGTGGACCCATGTGACAGATGGGGAAACTGAGGCCTGGTGAGCTAGGGAGTTGGCTTGAAACAAGGTGAGGATTGTCAAGAGGCTGAAAGGCCTGCTTCCCCTGCACCCCCACTTCCCCAAGGTAAGTGCCAAGCGAGGGCCAGGAGCTGTCTCCTTTCCTCCCGTGGCTCTACCCAGAATACACTGGTGACCTTCAGAGGCCACCAAGGGGCCTCTGCAGGGGCCATTCAGCAGGAGAAATGCTCAGTGGTCCATCTGTCCACCCTCAGAAAGGTCCCTGGAGCCCAGCCTCCTCTCCCGCCCGCTGCGTTCTCAGGACACCTGGGGAGGAGGAAGTGAAGGGCCCCGAGGTCCTGGCCACTGGATACAGACCCTCCTGCCTAGACCTCAGAGGTCGCCCAGAGCACCCTTTGTAAGGTGCAGGGGGGGGGGTATACGCAGGACCCACCTACGAGGGCCTCCTATCCGGATGACGTGGTGCCATGATGGTGACAAACACCGCTGCCACAGCCTGCTACTTGCTCAGTCACCTGTAACAGTCATTCCCCTAGAAGGGGCCACATCCCTCCCTTCACCTGTGAACAATCAGAGCCCCAAGCCAGGCCTTTCGGAGGTCAAAGTGGAACCCTGGTGTGGCAGTGGGTGGGCTCCGGAGACAACTGGGAGTGGGGCATGGCTTCAGGGTGCAGAGAGCCAGCCCAGCGCTGTGAGGGGGGGGCGCGCATGACAAGGCTCCCTGCAAACTCTTGCTCGCTCTGCCCTGCTGACTCACCTTCCCTCTCCCACCTGCTCCCCCTCCACAGCCTCCCACCTGCCTCCCCACTCGCAGCTCCTCTGATCTCACTCACCCCACTCAGGTCCTGGCGGCGGGTGCGGAGATGGAGGGGATCAGGGAGTCTCAGCTTCTGGGGGCGTCAGAATCTCAGATGTCCCTGAGCCTGGCATCACAGAGACTGGGACTGGCTGAAGGGGCCTTGGAGGCCCGCCCCCCCTTCACCCACCCCTGCATCTTGCCTGCAGAGTCTGGCAGAGGCATGGCACTCCCTCCCTCTCTCCCCACCCTCCACTGCCATAGTGGGGGTGTGTGCAGGAGATGGGGTGTTGGTTCAGAGAATTGGGTGGGGTGTTGGCGATGGGTTGAGGGTGGGTGCAGGGAATGGGGTGTAGATGATGGAGTCAGGAGTGCAGGAGATGGGGAAGGGGAGGGGAAGGGAAGGGGAGGGTGGCCTTGGGGTGGCAGGCAAAGCTAAAGGAATGGGATGACTGGTCATCAGTTGGGAGGGAGGAAGGAAAGCCTGGGCAGGGGAGAGGGAGAGAGGGGAGGGAGGGAGGAAGAGAGAGGGAGGGGGCATGGCAAGTCTGCCCTCCTCCCTCCACCCAGGCCTGCCTCCAGCCTATTTCTAGTTGGATTCACCTCTGTCCCTGTCGCCCTCCCCCCGCCCCCACAACTCCCCAAACCCCCCTCACCTCCCCACCCTGCTCTGCTTGCTTCTGAAAATCAGGAGCAGTAGCAAGGACCCAAGCCTCTCTCTTTGCGTCCCTGCTCACTAGGCTGCATGGCTGTCCTGGGGCAGAATTCCTGGGACTCCACGTGTTCCCTTGTTCTGGCTCAGCTTCCCGGCTCCAGCCCCACACGGACTTCTGGGTAGTGAGGGAGTCTTCAGCCCGGCCTTTCTTCCGATGCCCAGCTCTGCTTATGAGCAGACGCCAGGGGCTCCTCGATCCCCACGTACAAACTGCAAGTTCAGAGGCGTCTCTAAGAGCCTCAAGACCGAGACCATCGAGCACCAGACCAAGTTGTCCCTGCGAGCCAAGTGCGTTCCGTATTCGGCTGCTAACGGCAAGGTCAGCAGTTTGAAACTACCAGACCCTCCTCCGAGGGAGAGACGGGCTTTCCACTCCCAGAGTTACTCTTTCTTCTGGGAAAGCGTTGCCGTCTTGGAAACCCACAGGGCAGTTCTACCCCGTCCGGGAGAGGCACTAGGAGTTGGCATGGACTCGGGGGCAGTGAGGTCAGCCCTGCTGGTCTAGGTTTCTCGACTGTTGGGTGACAGGCGGGTTCCGACCTCAATCTGTACCTGGTACACAGAGCTGCTTCGAACATCTCCGTGCATTTGTTTTATCAGCTGGATCCAAATATCATACAATCATCTTCGTTCAATCACCTTCTTTCCTTTTTTGTTTTAAGGTTTATTCGAGCTCCTTGCTCGAGCTAACCACTAATTTGAAAAGGTAGCTGGAATTCTGGGTGACATGCACACACTCTGTTCAGATGCAGCCTCCCAGGGTCAGTCTAGATCTTTCTACAAGGACGATGCAGACCTAGTTTTCAAAGTGTGGAACCATGTGCCCCAGCTTCTCCAGGGGCTCTCCACTGAAAGGGTAGTGGGCACAGGGGCACCAGCCTCTAGGTGCATGTTTGTTGGTGGTGTTGTTAAGTGCTGAGGGGGGTTCCGACCCATAGCGACCCTGTGCACGACAGAAGGAAACACTGCCCGGTCCTGAGCCATTCTCACCATTGTCCCTATGCTGAAGCCCATGGTGGCAGCCACTGTGTCCGTCCATGGTGCCATCCTTCTCCAGGGACTGGCCTCTCCTGACAACCCATCCAAAGTGTGTGAGACAAAGTCTCGCCATCCTTGCCTCGAAGGAGCACTCTGGCTCTACTTCTTCCAAGCCAGCTTTGCTGGTCCTTTTGGCAGGCAGTCCGTGGTGCTTACCATATTCTTTGCCAGCACCCCCTTCAAACGCATGGATGCTTTTCCGGTCTTCTTTATTCAGCGCCCACCGCTTGTCTGTCAGTCTGTCATGCTGTAGCGGCTCGTGTGTCGCTGTGATGCTGGAAGCTAGCCCACCGGTATTTCAAATACCAGCAGGGTCTCCTGAAGCGAACAGGTTGCAG